TATATATATATATATATATATATATATATATATACACAACAGTTTAAGTTCTCTGTATTACCGCAAATCTAATAGAATTCCATGTTGTTATATCTTTTCTCCTAATAACTGATTAATTATCAATAGCTTCTGATCAAAAGTAAAATAACCGTACAAAAAAGTGAAGTCAGATCTATATAACAAACTGATCAGAAATACATAATGCTGTAAACCAACACATCAGAAGACTATAGAAATAGTTAGGTATCTAATATAACCGGTAACAACTGTATAAAAAAAGTTAAGTCAGATCTATATAACAAACTGATCAGAAATACCCAATGCTATAAACCAACACGTCAGAAGACTATAGAAATAGTTAGGTATCTAATATAACCGGTAAAAACCGTATAAAAAAGTTAAGTCAGATCTATATAACAAACTGATCAGAAATACCTAATGCTATAAACCAACACATCAGAAGACCATTCGTTACACAAACAGAAATTTATCTGTATTTTGAAAAACGTTGACACACCAGATCACTGTCTGAGAAAAATGTTGATACATCAGATCATTGTCTGAGAAAAGCGTTGATATACCAAATCACTCTCTGAGAAAAACGTTGATACACCATATAACTGTCTGCGAAAAACGTTGATACACCAAATCACTGTCTACGAAAAACGTTGATACACCAAATCATTGTCTACGAAAAACGTTGATACATCAAATCACTGTCTGAGAAAACGTTTACACACAAAATCACTGTCTGAGAAAAACGTTGATACACAAGATCACTGTCTGAAAAACGTTTACACACAAAATCACTGTCTGAGAAAAACGTTGATACACCAAATCACTGTCTGAGAAAACGTTTACACACAAAATCACTGTCTGCGAAAAACGTTGATACATCAAATCACTGTCTGAGAAAACGTTTACACACAAAATCACTGTCTGCAAAAAACGTTGATACACCAAATCACTGTCTGAGAAAACGTTTACACACAAAATCACTGTCTGAGAAAAACGTTGATACACCAGATCACTGTCTAAACTGTGCTAAATGAAATAATTTGATTACCACTCCTTCAGAAAAAATAAAATATGTATATATATATATTGTTTCAATTTTAACCTGCATAGCTGTAGTTCAGACTTGTTACCGGTTCTATAAGACACCTAAATATTTCTATAGCTTTTATTGAAGTCCCCTCCCAAGTCCCCTCCCACTATAGGGATTTGGTTACAAATTCCTCGGTATTCTTGAAAATACAGAACTTGAAGTAAAAAATATCCGAAAGTGTTTCTGTTTATCACGTTTCGTAAACTTTTAAATACTTTATGTAAATTTATATTTAATGTTTCTTTTATTTCACAAATATCACATTAGATAGTATCTAACAATATTAGACATATAAACTAATGAACGTATGAATCTGAATACAATATTGTGGTGTTAAGCTTGCCTGAGATGCGGTAGGGGCCGCTTTGGCTGTCCTAGTTATACTCGCCTTAATTAGTAATAGAAAGTATACAAGTATGTTATCACAGACATGTTGGTCGGTATTGAAGGTGTGATAACAATTAAGTAACGGCTGGTTTAGGAGTAATTAAGTGGACATCAAACTGTTACAGTAGAAGGTCTCTGTAAGTTGTTGTCTAACTTTTGTCGTTATGTCAGGTTTGTATCTTTTCTTATGTCAAAGTTGAAATATGAACGTCGTGAATCTATTTTTTAATCCCGTGCTCACAAACGCTGATTCTGTGAATTATCATTCTATATTTAAATGTTATAAACACATCACTTCTTATATCTTAGCATATATAAAATATCAGGTTCTCCCAATTAACGTAAATGAATGACTTCTCGAAGGAAGAAAGGCCTTTATTTTCTCAGGATATCAACTCT